ATAAAAATAATATAACGATATAATATAGCCCCCGCCATCATAATATATCGTATACAAATAAAGTCATAACAAGAGGTTAGAGTGTATTAACATAATCCAATAATGGATTTACAAATAGTCTCCGGGAGAGCGGACGATGCCCGTTGCCGAGCCGCCGCCGACGATATCAAAGACAGGTAGCTGATTATCATAATACAAGAGTTGGGTATTTTGTATTATTCTCTCAAAGATTTGATATTGCCTTACCAGCGGCACAAACGGTTTAATAACGAAACAGTGGTAATAATGACAACAACGTGATAGTAGTATTTTTTTGTTGTAGACAAAAATATTGTATGGGATATAGCGAAAAAAAAATGAATAGACGGATTTGTATAGACAAAACGATTATTTGCGTTCTGTGATATTTTAGTGTATAAATTGTAAGATAAATGCAATAGTAACTGCATTCTAGCGCAAAAACGTGCAGTAGATATACACAACTAGGTAAACATTATATTATGCTATTGTAAGTCCAATTGTTGTTGTTAACTTAACAAAAAAAAAATATGTATAAAAAAAATAAACACAATTTTACTCTCGTACACATCGTCATACTCACTACATAATTATATCATTTACATATATTATATTTATATTCTACTAGCTACAGCTATTGTTGAATGTTAGAATGGTGACCGATGATGCGGTATTATTTTTCATACATGTGTGTGCTTAATATACCAAGTGACTACCGCTAGGTTTAATTTACGTGTAGTATGAACCAGAGGGCCCCCCATGTTGTCGCCAACCGAGACTGTGGAATGTCACAGGCAAGTTGCCCAAATTATATATCATCTAAGTCAAACCTTAACTATATGATTTGATAGATTTGTTTTACGACATAATAACAGAATGTTTATTTTGTACGATCGGATAAATTGTTATTAACACTAATAATTCCGCAGTGTTCTTTGATTTGATTATGCTAATTATCTAATTTATGAAAAAAATGGAGTTCATTAAAATATTAAATTATATAAAAGAAAAAAACTAAACACACATCTATCAATGACTATTTCTGTCAATCGATCGATACTATATATATATATATATATATATAGGTAATATAACCTGACTAAAAGTCAAAACTCTTGATAATTCGGACTCATTTAGTTTATATGAACCTCAAAATTTAAATTTTATTGTTAAATAGAACATTTTACACAAATTAAGACTAAAACGCCAATTTTCAAAGGTGACCAAACTGATTTGAAAAAGCATATGCGTGTTATAATCGTGTATATTTTTACTTCTTTATAGTTTTATAATAAATCTGACTAATTTTAAAAATTAACGTTTTAGCAGATAAGTACGCTTCCACAAAAAAAAAAAATTAAATCCATTTAGAAGTTACGCCAGTTAATATTAATTTTTACAACAATGATTTTTTTATCAAACTCGCTATAATTTAGATAAAAATAATTTAATAGATTAAGAATAAATGAAGAAATTAATTTACCCTTAATTTAACATATTTAAGTTGCCTAGATAAATATATGCCAAATGCAATATTTGACTCTTAATAATAATAACAGTTATGATGATTAATTACATCTTAATAAATAATCCTTTCCGTTCCCTTTAATTACTTTTTAGTACTACCTCTTAAAAGTAAAATTACTCAAAATATAATTTTCAAAAGGTTTTATTTATTTTTGAAAAAGAGATACCAGAAAGTTATTAATGTTAATTAAGTTAACATGCAGTAATAGCTTTTACATATATAGCCTATATAGGCTATATAGGTATATTGTATAGGCTTGTGATTAATTATTAGAAATGAATAAACATACATCATTCAGAAACGTGACGAAAAGTTTAACTTAAGGACCAACCATTATCCTTGGTGAGCTCAAGTAACAACACTGTCGACGGTGACGCCTCTAATCTATGTGGCGCCGAATGATTAAGCACGTGCTAATTAGCATATGTATCTGTAACAGGAAGAATGCATTCCGGTCGTCTGACACCTAACGTGGTTTTTAAAAAACTTGTATATGCATTCAACCACTCTCCTTATGTCCTAATATTTACAAAGATAACGTCCAATGATTAGTGATTACCCATTAGGTAAAAGTATAATGCCATGTTTTACTAAACACGATTAACACTGAAGTATAATATATTACAATAAACAAGTATGTTGTGTCTTTAAGCAACATGTCTTTAACTTGACATATTCAACTAATAGTGTATTATTTTTAACATATTTTCCAGAACAAAAAAAATGAATACTTAAATCGTCAATTACTACTCTTATAATAATATTTAGAGGACATTTGCATAAGTTAACTGCCTTTAGATTTGTTCTAATATCAAGTTATAAAAGTCATTATTAGTTATTTAATAATTTTATAAACGTCCGAATATTTTAATTCATTCTTATAATACTTTTTTCGATAAAAAAATATAACTTAAACCGATACTTTGAGTAATAATTCGTCCGTAAAATGGAGAAAGTCTTTTATTTCAAGTTTCTAATACTTACTATTATAATTCTCGCATAAAGACTATTCATAATCACTATCTCTATCCGAATTCTAAACATTATCCTATTAGTTTTGATCTTATTTCTAATATACTTATTCTAAACTTAATCCTAATTCTTTTTTTCATATTAAAACAGGAACATTGTACATAATGTCTTTTTACACTTATACGATATGGAAATTTTGTCTTCAACTTGAAACTAATAAAATTAAATTCAAGCAATTACAAAATACATACAGGTACCTAGATATTAGTATAATATCTATGTTTTAAAATAGCGAAATTTTATGGCAACTATTTTCATGACCTTTCTCACTTCAACATGACCAACGTTATACAGCACCCTATTTATTTTACTCAAAACTGGTTTAGGTACATATTATAAAATAATAAAATTGGTTTTAATTTTATGGATCCTATTTCTGATATTATACGAAATACGAATATTTTTAAATAAAACTGTGGAAAAAAAAATGTATTTATTTATGAAAATTATAAAGGAACATCAGCGTAAAATTGCTTTTAAAAATTTATTTTTTACGCATAGATAACTAAACATTTCATATAATATAGGTACAAATATGCGTATAACTGTATATATTATAAGTGTTACCGATATATGACCCCGTACACAACGTGTAGGTACTATAGAAGATGAGCATTTTTATAGAGTTGTATATTGAGAGATGTTTACATCAGTGTCTAGCGAGAAAGTAGATCCGAGACACGGGCTCTCGAACCTGCCCAAGTTGATCGTGCAATAACAAATTACTGTAAGGTCAATAGGTTTAAAATATAAGTTAAATTGTACACACCGCAAAAAGTAACATTTTTATATGGTACTATATATTGGACCGGTATTTCGTTTAAACGATGTGCGGCCGGGATGCATATAATAATAACACATTCATACTTATAATTTGTATAATGTATATTATATTATATATATATGTATATATATATATATATATATATATATATATATATGTATGAGTTTTTACGTTTGGCATCGTTTACACTTTCGGACAACGCGAAAGTCGATGCATTACGGAGGAGTGGCCAGATCATGTTTGTTCGATTTATTATATTTTCTATATTATACACATAAACGATATAATATATAAATATATATATATATATATATATATATATATTTATATACCTTATGCGTTTATTATTATAATGATCTGCAGCAGATTCGCCTTATCAGTGTAACCATCAAAATGTCATAGCACCGAGGTGTGTGTGTGTGTAACTTGAACCGCAACGCGCTGTACATAATATAAATACGGTAGTTATTATCGATTTATACAATTTTCCCATCTCGCGGGTTACAAATGACTTTACCCATTTACACGGTACCGAACCCGCTCATAAATCGTCTGATGCGCACAGAGCTTTATATAATTTCACGCGTTACCTATAAGTAATACTCGACACGTGCACATAAAAGTATAAATAACGTTTAGTATAAAAGCCAACACCCGCGTATCTCGTACTAATCGAAATCCTTAACGGTTTAAAATTCGAATGGCCGGCGGCGCGAAATGGCGACCTTATGTATAAAATCCATTGGCGACATTTGAACCTATAATATTATGCTTGAGCCGGCCACGAGAGTACTGGCAGCGGCCAGACCTTTAACTTTGCTCTTAACATTCCTATCTTTCATACATACGACTATAAGCTGTTTTTGAATTGCATTTGCCCAGCAGCAGTATTTTTTGTCTGTCCGATGACAAGCAATTGCCACGATATTATTTTAACACTACATACACCGTTAGTTATAAACACTTATACATTTTGTATATACACATTAAGTCGTCTTAATATGGGTTTTTGGCGAATTTTTATTATTAAAAGCCTTTAAATCGGTTTTAAATAATTTAAAAAAATAATTTTAATTTGTTAAGACTTTTATTTGAATTCTTTTGTTGCATTGGCCGAGAAAGATACTTGACATAAATTCAGTTATGACCCTAATTGATTTTTCTAATTGTGTTCTCTATAAATATATTTTTTTAATGTTTAAAACAATAGTGAAGTAAGATTTAGTCGGCCTAATTTACTTTTAAAATTATTTGCAATGCTTACTTTATTTTAATTAAAAAAATAACACATATATATATATATATATTTAAAATAATTATTGAAAATGGAAAATGCATAATATATAATAATGTATAATACTTATTTATTTATTAACACAATTAATATTTAGTTATAAGAAAAAATATAATTTTCAATTTTTATTTTAAATGCAATACCTTTGTTTTTCATTTAAACAATAAAATGGAGGGGAGATTCAAATAAAAATAAAGTATTTTTTTTTTTCTAATTTGGGAACTTTTAGAAATGCATGAAATCAAAAATAACGACTAAACTAATATATATTTTACTGAATTTTTTTTCATGTTACGTAGCAAAGAGTACTAATTAATCTAGCCCGATTCTATAACTGTTTACAGATGAGTCAGCTATGCCGTGTATGCGGAGAACCTGCCGCCGGTTTTCATTTTGGAGCATTTACCTGTGAGGGTTGTAAGGTAACTAGTTTAAACTATATTTATTTAACCCGAATAAATATCGAATAATGTATTTTGTTTCGATGGAATTGGATGCTGCTTAACTAAGTAATAGCTTTAGCCAATAGCCAATTGTAAAACTTACGTAAACGACACTCGATACAATTCAGTAATTACTAGAAGTTAAGTAATAACGAACTTAGTTACTTTGTTTGAATGTAAGTCATACAATAATTTGGAGGTTTTTTTATGACCTTTCATCCAGAATCTAATACTCAAGTCTCCTTAAGGGAAAATAGTATATTAAATTCATTATCATTTAGAAATTACAAATTATACGAAACCTCTCTACCCAATGTTCTTTATATCCGACCATTGGCGTAAGACATTTATTTTGAGTTAAATTTTGAATTTCTTAAATTTTTGATAGAACACTTTTCCTAATCTAGCACCGCCGCCTTCGGGTATTATAAAATCCAGTGTAACTGCAGGATTTTAGGTGTGCCGTACCGTTGGTGTAGCACAAAGCTATATGTATGTTACAGGATGAGAATAAATGTTAAGGCCTCGAAAGACTTTAACGCTGATGCTGCGGTGACGGTCGAACAATACATATTTTTGACGACACCGTTGCGCAAAACTTATTATGTAGCAATAACTTATTATTGAATACAGTCAATCTATATTGACGATTGGATATGCCATGTTTGCGCTCGCACATCTGTAGACCGCTATTCGCAATAAAACTGAATGAGTAACGCACGTACGGTTTTTAATTTGTGTGAAACAAAAAAAAAAACCTATATATATATATTATTAATATTACTTTATTTTACATCCAACGTGTGTATTATTATTATTATTATTACAGTATAAGAAATCATATTGCACAACCGCCGTAGGTAAAGTGGTCTCGGCGTATTGTACACAACAATAATTAATTACCCACGCCGACCGGACGATCAAATGCAATACATTTTACGATTAAAGATGATGATGATAATAATAATAATAATACAATCACGTACTTTTCAATGTGACGGTTCGACAACGAATAATAATTTATGTACGAGTATGTTGTGTGTATGTAATTTTAAATACCGTAACCTCGTTGCTCGTGTCCATCTTCAAAAATAGACATCAGCTACTACAAACACACACTATCAGTTCGATTGTTGTGCAACAGCAGTATTATTACCATTATGTTATTAATATGTAGTTGCGTAAGCCGCAGTAATGACAATTATACTATATTTTAATAATAGACATTCGACCACGATCGGCAATTCTGAATCAATTTTGTCGATAACATTAGTTTAGTACCGAAAATTCCGATTAAATCTTTAATGTGTTTGTCGAATTACTATACAATATGGGCTACAATTTTTTTTTCGAGAGGCTGACCGAGTGAAATCTTCTCTACCGATACGCTTAAATATTTTTCGTAATTATTTTTTCACTGTTTTGGCCTACACCGATTCTGTGATGAGAACAAGATAGAGTGACAGCTACAATGGACTAATAGAAGAAATTGGAGCGGACTGGAAGCTGGCTTATGATAGGAAGCGATGAAAGAAAGTAATTTTTAATTTTGATAGCCAAGAGTCTAAACGGCCCATAGTTTAAAAAAATCCACAGTAAAATATAGCATAAAAATGTTTTAAATTAGGTTAGACTTGTTTACAATCGTCCTACGTGGCACTCTGCCTATTTTTGGATAAAAACTATTAAATACAGTTTTTTTTATTATCCGGTGTTAGTTTAGTCTATACTTATTGTATCCAGCTTAATACACCACGGTTCTTCCATTGAGTTCAGCTGACATGTCCACTGTCGTTTCCCAAAGAAAATATGTACCTGCGTTCGCGACAAGATAAGACGTACATAATTTCAGTTGGACGTGTTTTTATAATTTGTTTTCTATTTTTTATTATTTTATACACGCCCTCGTTCCACCCACCACGTAGATTTAAAAAAAAAGTTTATATGAAAGTCTTGAATTAACCGTTTCATAATTGTGTACAGCTGTGACACACGTGTACGCAATACTATTCAGTACACAATACAATAATAATGCTCAAATGTGAAGCATCCGTCTTGTACCTAACCTGATCGCTAGTATGTATAGTTCGGGGTTTTCGCGACAATGATTAACGATCGTAAGTAATCATTAATGCTTACTTCAGCTTAGCCATAGGTCTAAATCAACAGAAATCATCTGTACAATGTACATATTATGTAATAATTATTCACGGTCAAATTTCTTCATTTTTATTAATGCTAAAGCAAAATCACTCTATAAGACCTTCGTCGTAGGTACAGCGTACAAATGGTGATTGATTGTTACGACCGGCACTTTTTGAGATGCTTCTAGAAAATGATGTGACCATTTCTCAGTAAGAAAATATCTAACTGTCCTGCTAATATGATAATGTGAAAATACTTATAATTGTGACAAAACAAAGTAAGAAATGAGGAACGGGTGCGGAGGGGGTTTGGAGAGATGGGCTGATTAAGTTGTTTGTGTAGGACCATAAGACATATTCATGAACTAATTTGTTTCATTCAAGGGAAAGATTCCATTAAATTATTGTGCTACATTGTATAGTTAAACGCTTATAAGTCAGTAAAATGTCTAATATGGAGGTATATCCAAATATTTTAGCTGTTAACTCTTCTATATAGTTCACTATATTTAAGTATTGAGCAACTTATAACTTGTAATCTTAGTATTTGCCAATCGATAACAGAAATTCAGGATTAGTTATAGCATAGTTTAAATGATACTTTTAGTAATAACTAGTAAAAGCGCATCTGATCAACTGCGGTCGTCTTTTTCTCTACACGGAAGAAAATATACGGTTGGATCTTCAATTGTTATAAAAGGCAAACAAAACATTATTGTTGGAATAACTAAATAAATAGTTGCTTTAACTAAACATTTAGTTTGTCTAATTATTTATTTAGTTATTCCAACTATAAATGTATTTCATATGTCAACCATATCCAACTATATATTTTTCGGGTGGCTTGCTCGACATTTCCTTGAAAATGTCATACAATTTTGCGTCCTTTAAGTATATGTAGCACTTCACAGCGGGTGCAGCCGAAATAAGACTTTAACAAGATGTTACATAACAAATGTATTTAAATCACTTAAACGTATTTTACAAAAATCGGCACGTTTTTGTATATATTTTGTAATAGTAACACTTTCTTGTACACACTACAATGTGAAATAACAGCAAATGTTTGTCAAATGTGTCTATACTATATTTTATGTTTCAGTCGTTCTTCGGTCGGACCTACAACAATTTGAGTTCAATATCCGAGTGCAAGAACAACGGCGAGTGCGTTATTAACAAGAAGAACCGGACGTCGTGCAAAGCGTGTCGGCTCCGCAAATGTCTGGTGGTCGGCATGTCCAAAAGCGGTTCCAGATACGGACGTCGCTCTAACTGGTTCAAAATCCACTGTCTGCTCCAGGAACAGCAGCAGCACCATCATCACATTCAGCACCAGCAGCCACCGCAAGCTGTACACCTACCGCCAGTTGGCGGAGGCGGCGGTCGGTCTTCGGCCGAATCAAGACGAACGCCGCCACTGCCATGGGACGTAAAACACCACATGGACGTCGACAACAATAATTCGGTGCCCGCCGATCTAGACAAATCTAGCGGCCGTTTGTCCGCGGCTGCCGCAGCTGCAGCTGCCATGCACGCTGTTCGGCCCGAACTTCTACAATGGCACTCGCCGTTTTTCCCGGCGTTCCCGTTCCCACCGCCGTCGCCGTTTTTCATGGCGGCTGCCGCTGCACTTCAGCCCCGGCAGCTCGTCAACAGGCCGCATTCGACGAGCCCCAATTCTTCTTCCGTCGAAGAACACGGCGGCCCGCCGTCGCCGAAAGTCGCCGCTTTCGATTTGCCTCCCGTCCAAGATTCACCGATGGACCTGTCGGTGTCCGCTACCGGCGGAAGCGGCTGCGGCGACACCGCTAGGTCACCGCCGTCATCACCAGAGAGTCCAGGACGAAGTGGCGGCACCGACGATAGTCATCGGACGCCCGTGGACGACTCGTACCAAACGTCTGACGACGAACACGTGCCGAACGATACCGCGAAAATTGTTCCCCTGGACTTGACGTTCAGTCGGTCGTAACTGCGTTAAAATTTAAAATTTGTGTCCAAAAAGCTATTATAAAAATATTAAATTTTTTTATACCAAATGTGTCAGCCCATAAGTTGACTGATCGCAAAAAGTGTTATTACGATTATTGATTTTAATGTCAACGTTATGACTCTCCTTAAACAAACTCTTAAATACGTTTATGTTTGGCAGATCTATTTATAAATGTATTTATAATTTAAATAAATAAATTAATGTATAATAAATGTAACATAATATCATTATTATTAAATTAATAAAATTAACTAATGAGCCTTTGTGGTTGTGTATTTGTTTACAAAAATCCCGAAATATTACTATAATAACTGCTATTATATTGTGCGCCTTCAACTAATTTTGTTATTGGATGCTTTCTTCCCTCACACCAACAACAACGGGTTTTATTGATCTAAGTCCGATAGTAAATTTAACGTCTAGATTCGATTTTTTAACGATGGACTATAATCATATTATAATTTATTAGATTATTCATTTTTTTGTTATAACATGTTTTAATAGTTGTGCATAATATAAACAATACACAGTTAGTATTGGCGATACGAATAATTGATGTCAGATTGTACTAAGAAATTCCATAACAAAAATACCTCATATTATAATAATTTATTCTTCTTCTTCGTCTTCTTGATAATACATAATATTATTATAGGTATGCGGTAGATGCAAATAGGGAAATTATTTTTCCGACCGCTTGACGTCTGGTCAGTCTAATAATTATTATAAACAAGTACCAACTAACGTGGCTCTATACTTGCCGCGTTGTATTTATAAATAATATTATTATTATTATTATTATTGCTACGAAGAAATAACTGGCACGTGTGTATATATTTGCATACGATAATAGCGATAAGTGAGAGGGACAACCGGCCTGGACCGGCGACCACTTATTCATCGACCGATATTGTTCCTTTCTTCGGCGCAGTTCTGTTTTAATACCTAATAAGTAACAACTGTAAGCTCGCTACAAGGAGTATATTCATTTTATAATAATTTTCGTTATTATTATTATTATTGTATATATAAATTATTATAAATACCTATAGAAGACTGGGCCGGTAGTGTAATTCAGCTTAAACGGATCGTACGCCAGTTATTTATGGGTCACGCATAAATATTATTTACCCGTAAACGTATATTGAACCAAAGCGGCCGGCAGAAGCGTCGGATATACATACACCCGTGGTGTTATATACTACATGATATTATATTACATTATCTATACTTTTAGGATATTTTTTTCTTACCGCGGTATTAACAAAATGGAGGGGAAATGCGGTGAAATTACTGCATAGATTATAAATAAATGAAGATGACATTTAATCATAATTTTAAAGTTATATTAATACCAGTCTTATACTTATTATTTATGTTTTTCCAATTTGTACTTGATATTTAAATCATAAACAACACTTATAAAATAAGTGTTAGTGATGGTGAACAACAAAATATATACAAAAGTTTGCACACCTATACAATCTATTACATTACAAACTTTCGATATAGGTAAGAAAATTAACTGACATTTTAATTAATTACCAATTTAATACCTAATACAAATATTGTGTTAAATTTGTAATGCCAGTTTGAACTAATATCGAAGAAAACTAATATGTTTCATTTTTTGCAATAAACTAGTACCTACGCTTCATTACCGCAGTCGAAAATTAATATATTTCTTTTTTTACCGCAAAAAAAAATAAAAGTATTTCACATTCAAACATTAAACACTTGTATTCAACCAAACATTCTTATTATAATTACCATAATTGAATGAAAACGAATGAAACATAATAGTTTTTGGAGTAACAAACCCAGAACAAATATAAAAATATAAACTTTGTGTATATCTTTTAATGTATGTTAAAATAAAAAATTATAATACATTATATACTTTTTAATTATTTTTTTTTTTTAATGACTTAAAAACTACTTACATAATACTCATCAAGAAACATTGCCTTATACACTTATATATACTTGCTAATTTTTCCCATGTACATTTTTAATTCTTTCACCACCCCCTCCACAGATATACAGTGATCGGGTATGATAAGGGTGGACAACGTCAGTTTTGCATCTATTGGTGTGTATAGCATTACACGCGTTGAGACGTACTAACTCCTTAGAAGAACACAGTATTTTGAAAAGTTCTCTATAAACGGTTGCAAATGTACTGACAGCTAATTCTAATAATACGCCATGTCAGGAGTAATGGGTGGAGATAATAATTATTTTGAATCTCATATGATATTCAAGTGCACGTACTGAATGGGATTTCGCCGAATTATTAGCATATTAGACGAGTTTCCGGTGTTCGCACATCCCACATGTCGTTAACTACTCAATACATTATTATATTATATTTCATTTTTACCGGTCAGCAGTTTTAATTACAAATAAAATGAGGTACAAAATAAAACTAGTTTGGATTTGGTCGTTATATCTTTCACATTGTGTTGAAGCTATCAATTATAATATATTTACATGTGTCATTTCAAAACAAGACGTTTTACACAGTTATTAGCAGAACTGCCGTTTGATCCTGGTCAACCTAGCGGCTCTTTATTTCCAACGTCCAAAATCGAGGTATAATATACTACTCGATATGTAACTACTACTGTAGTTTACATAAATGTATGATCGTTTTTTTATATTTAAAGTTTGTTTGTAATAATATTTTAATTTATGCCGGAGGATGAACCATTTAGAAGGTTTAGTTTGGTTGCCTATACAGAACTCCTTGTTAAAGTTTATTTAATTTTACGAGACTCCTAAATAATAATTATAGTGTCTTTTACGATGAAAACGCTGTAGCTTCAACGTGTTTTCAAGTAAAACGAAAATGTAAACACTCGACCACATTAGGCGAAAATGCTACCAGTACACTTATTTTCCAATGTTCATGAAAACCTATTAAATTTAAAAGATTTAACAATTAACAAACGTCATGGATGATGCTGTGTTTGGGTCAGCCGTTCTTGAACATATTTGAGCATACTGTGTAGGAAATGCATTTAAACCCTAATCGAAAAACCTGATAATAAACTTATTGTATGATAAAATACAAATTGCGCCATACAAACAGAATCGACGGACACGGCAATCGAACAAATGAGTGATGATTTTAAACGCAGAGTACCGGTTTTCTAACATTGTATAACGCTCAAGTTTACTGTAAAATAAAATTTTTTTTTAAAAAACGTGTCAATATAATACTATGTCAGCCGCGACTCCGGAGTTTTTTTTCGAGTAAGATCCTTGTATGCTAATCAGGTATTAAAATAAATCTTGTAGATAACTGTTGGATTCGCAATAAATATGACCCTCGTAAATTTTTATTTTCTAGATTTAATTTACGCATACTCGTTATATTATTGTATGAAGTAGTTAAAGTTACATTTTCGTATTAAGGTATAAATGACAAATTATATATAGATTAAAGTCGACTAGATTTATGGCGACGAACATCATGTGCTAAAAACTCGCTTGCGGGGCTGGTTAGCGTTACGACACGCTTTTATTTATTTTTTTATTAATCGGTGTTAATGGTCAGTCGGTGTACACATTCTTAAGTCATCTCGCTGTAGAAAAAAAATTGTGTATACATACATATAAGTGCATAGCATAATATAAATATATGTATTGTACATTTAGCCAACTAAAGTAAATAGTAACGCCGTCTTTTGCAAACAGGTTAAACAAATATTTTATGACCCGAAACGCATAAAAGAAAAAAGTATGAAAGTGCATTTTTGAAACGTTTTTAGGACTTCCATAGAACCAATTCACTAGAAACATGTACGCATAATAATTATTCTACTACATAACTAAGTCGTTCAGCGATCTTACATTTCTTGTATAACTACAGAGAGACTTTTTTTATTGCAAAAAAATCGATTTTTACTCTTATAGATATGCAAAGTAAACATAATTCTGTTTGTTTGGCTGGACAGAACACATAATTATTTTATTTTTTTTGTCTATTTTAACAATCCTTTTGTCGTTATAATGCATGTTTTACATAAGTTATCAGGTCTACATAAAATATAACATAAGACTTGCATGTCGGGTAAAATAATATGCTCTCTCTCTCCCCACATAATAATTAAAAATTCAAATATGTTTTGTTCAGATACACGTTAAAAGTGTACTGGCCATTCGTGTAGTATAAGTTTTGTTCGGCAGTGGCGAGAAGAGAGTATAAAATCGCAAATAGGTAACAAATGCTTTGACTGTATAGAAAACAGAACAGGTGCTTTTTACATGAATACATTATTTTATGTAGCAAATTGACTCATTAATATCGACAGTATTCTAGGGTAATGCGGGTGTGTACTTACCGTTGACGCCAGGACGTGCTACGTCGACCGGTTTGCGATCATATTATTCATAATAATAATATTGTTGATTTTTCTCTCTAAAACGCGTCCGGTGTCATTCACTAAACGCCGAACACTTATCTCTAACGTACCGTGTAAATAAATAGGTACACTATATTGTGTCAGAACGCCGTAAAATGTATTTTCACCAGTCTGTTGCACCTCGCACCGAATTATTGTCCCCAGCGGCTGCGGCCGAAGGTTACACACCCGGACCAAAGTCGATTTTGACCGCACACCTTTGTTTGTCCAACATCGCGTGTGTGTGTATCATAGGAACATAATATACATATAAAAATAGAAAACGTTTTAACGAACCCCGGTTTTGTTTGAACAGTTTAAATGACGGCGCACACAAATATATTAGGTATAATTTATATTACACCTCGTCGGTCGTCCGCAAACAGACGGTCTGAGGAGAGATGCCCGTTTTGAATACTCGCCCGAAACGCTGTTTGCCCAAAACGTTAATTTTTTTGTTCTTCGTCTCAGAACACATTATTTAATATTATTTCCACGTGCGCGATTCCCGTTCTAGCCCAAGTGGATATTCGCGGATGTCTGGCAAAGGAGCGTTCGGACATAAGTCGACATAATATTATTATTTATTACAATCAAAAATGGAAATTCAATTCACCTTGCTCGATCGGGCTAACACAAACATTGTAGTAACCTATGAATAACACACAACGTTCAAGAAACGCCTTTATTACAATGCATAGAGCAGCGAGAGGTTACCGGACAGAATTAGAATGCCAATCGGTGGATGTCGCGAGAGATAATAAAAAAAATACTGCATAGCATACCGTGCAATTAGTTTAAATAAAAACCCCATTTGAGTGATTGGTTTGGACAGGCGTTTGAAATGTAAATTCATACTAT